GTATCTCCATGGCACTTTTGAAGCAGCTTCTCCAGCACTGGAGCTCAGAGTGAATGAGTCTGTCCATAAGTACGTTTGCTCACGGACCATTTAAGAGGAAACCCCGACTCTCACAGCCTTCTGTCTTAGCCCACATCCCCATTGGTTTTCACAGTCAGAGGTTGTGAGGACTTCTCTTCCTGGCACTGGAATCCTGGGCTAGGGATCCCAGTGTGGGAGCAAGACCCCTTACTTCTTTGGGGGAATATTTGCAGCCAAGATATCTCTCCAGATTCTCAAACACAATAGGCAGGTATGGCAAACAGCCTGTCCCACATCTCCACTCCACCTACCAGTCTTGAGGTGGCCTCTTTTGAACATACCTAGTTGTAGAACTTCTGTTCATCTAGACCTTAGGCAACTCTCAATGATGGTTGTTCTGTAGTTTAGTTTTAATTTTGATGTGGTTGTGAAGGAGGCAAGCACATCGTCTACCTACTATACAATCTTGTCTGAGGTCTCTTTTTGTCTTATCTTAAAATTTCTTACTTTCATTCTTATGTTCTGATCAAAGGCAAAGTGTTTCTTAAATCAATCTTCAATTACTTTTTTACTCCTACCTCTTTTATACTTTAGCCTTATTAATAGTTTTTTGCATTGATTTTTTTCCCAAGTCATTATCATTCAGGTTAGTTAAACAACATAGATTCATGATCTTCTTTTGGAGATAAATACATTTCCGTGTTTCAACATAACAACTTCATTTTTGGATTATGGAGAGTTCGTGGGACCTGATTGCAATTTTCCATAACTTAAGGAAGATCCGCTCCTGAGGGGCTGCTTTTGTGGACCAGTTCTTATCCACTCAGTGACCTCATTCCATGCCTACTACATGAAAAGAGACATAGTTCAGGGATATCTGGGGACATTCTTGCTTTCTTTTCACAAAACCAGCCTATTGCATGTGTGTAGGGGTTCCCTGAATATCAAATAAAAATGTACATATTCTTGTCTTTCTTCAGAAGAAAATTTCCAGGGGAAAAAATCATGTTCCATTTTAATCTGAATTTGCCTTGAAGTCAGAACCAAACACAATCCTTTGGCAAATTCCTTGTTAGCTCTCTTAGCTCTTCCTTTCCTCCTTGGATACTCTCATGTACTCTGGATAATTAAACCACTGAACTGTATTTATTGTGTGTCCTTGGGCATTGTGAATTGTCCTAGGTACTAAATACATCTATGCAGAAGGCAGATCCTACATCGATCTAGGCCTTCTCTTTTATATCTGATAGAAACTGATAACTGACATTTTAGTTTGATTGTGAAAAAGAGAAGAAATTTGAAAGAAAATATCTTAGAGATTTCTGTTTCAAGATATAAAAGACATGAGAAGATTGATTATAAATATATACAGAGGTTTCTCTTAAAGGAGATTTAATTTAAATCAACATAGTTCCCAAGAAAAGAGGAGAGAGAGGAATTCAATTGTTGACATTGGACTTAGCCAGGGACAACGTGACTTTTGAATTAAATAGTAGAATGTGAGTAACTAGTAGGTATAAATGCAAGAATATTTGTAGGTATAGGGATAAACTGAGTTACTTTGCATTAAAATGTAATTCATTTGTGTTATGGTTTGAATTGTGTACTCGCTAAATTCATATGTTGTAGTCCTTTCCCACAGTACATGAGCATATAATTCTATTTGGAGTTAAGGTCACTAAAGGAGTAATTAATTTTTTAAAAAGGTGATTAGGAAGGGCCCTAATCCAATGTGACTGGTGCCTTTAGAAGAAAAGAAAAATCAGGGCACAGACATATAGAGAAGGAAGGCTATGTGAAGACACAGAAGTTAGATGGCCATCTACAAGCCAAGGGAAGAGGCCTCAGAAGAAATCAACCCCATATATACCTTGAGCTCAGGCTTCTAACCTACAGAAATAAATTTCTGATGTTTAAGTCACTCAGTCACTAGCACTGGAAGAATTTATTTTTTATTATTATTATTACTATTATTATTTTTTTAGCAGAACAAAGAATGATTTCCAGATATCATTGAAAGCCACTTGGAGTTGTGATTATGTGTTGAGACTGTTATCGACATCTCAGTAATGTGCTCTTAGCTGCTGTTGGGATCTTGTTGAATAGATGTGACAAATAATCTAAGGGATAAGTAAATACGTCTCGGTAAATGTGTGTTGAAATGAAGGAGTGTAGGTTAAACAGGACAATAAAATAAAGAAAGATTATGATATTTAGGAAGTGGGGTCCATACACTGGAGGTTCTCATGTGGTAGAAAACCTGGGTATGAATAATTTTGTGAAAATGCAAGAAGAAAAAGACAGTCATAACAGGGTGCTTCTTTTGATTATTTGTTAGAGTTACTAAACCAGATAAAACCTAGCTTTGCTGTGTTACTCTAAAGGAATTTGAGCATAGGATAGTGACTGAGAAAAATTAAATGACAGCATTCCATTTTCTAGCTATGTAACTTTGTCATATTACTACAAATTTTAGAACCTCTGTTTATGTCATTTGTTCAATTGGTAACTAGACTATAATTAGCATGGAAATTAAAAAAGCAAATATATATAAATCTGTAAGTACACAGTCACATGTAACACAAATCTAACTTTTTCCCTGCCCCATACTTCAGGTAAAAATGGGTGAGTTAATTATCTCTTCATGAGCATTTTCATTATTTATCTATGAAATACATTTAATTATTATTAACATGTTAGGGAAAAAATTATAGTTTACAAATGCTTTCTGCCTCACAAACACAAATGCATATGCATACATTTTCATGGATATACATATATGTGTGTGTGTGTGTGTGTGTATATATATATATTATATATATTATAATAAAAAGGGAATGTTGCAGCTAATAATAAATATAGAACAGGAATTGGAGAATTTCAGCTACCACTTGATGAAACTATAAGATGGACCAACTAGATTTCCTCCAAACCCCAGCCATTCTATATTCTCTGGGCATCCTTGACCTAGAAGACTGAGGCTGTACATGACAGTAACATTATTACTCATGTATGTGCTCCTGCTATTTTCTGATGTAGGGGATTTTAGGGACTAGACTGATGAATAGGAGCCATTGACTTCTCCAAATGGAATAAGTCATTGAATTGATAAACTCTCATCATAAAATAGATTCTTAGTTGCTTGGTATATAAGTCCAGGGGGAAATGAGAGCAGGAAAAGAATTAGAGTTCAGAGGGAGCCATGAGCAATAGAGAATCACTGCTAGTGCATAAGGCAAGAATAATAAAATCTGAGAAATTCACAGTATTTATCTACAGGTGGAAATCAAAATGTGCATGTGATATGAGTCAGGGATTGCTAAACTTGGAAATCAGAGAGGCAATTGAATAATTGTCTCAGGCTCATTAATATGAAATTCAGAACTTATTATGTTCTTATTTGTAAGATACCTGTATTTTGATCTTCTCGATTAGCAAAAACACTTACATCCTTATTACATTTGACCCTGGGAGAGGAAAAACATCTGCATATTATTCTCAGAGTAAATCACTCTTTTTAGTTTGTCAGGCAGCTGGAAGGGTACACCCAGATGAACACTGGGGCTTCATGGCAGCTGGGATTGGGAATTGTGTACAGGAATGAGTCTCATGGCTTCTTTCTCTATCCTCAGATTTGCCTGTGTAGTGCTTGGATTATCCATGTGTGAAAACCAAGAGAAAGACACCTGAGTTACTGGGAGTAAAAGTCCAGAGGAAGACATCTGAATTATTGATAACGCAGCCACT